ATGAAATATTCTAAATATTGTATGCAACCATCCATCTTTGTAAGCAATATTTCTTGCAAGTTGCTAGTTTACGTTAAAAGGAAGTTTACATGCTTCAATTTTAGCATGCATGGATATTTACATATCTATTAAAATTCGTAATTTTTTGGTGTGTATGTTGAAAAAGAATGAAACATCAATTTCACTGTTATACAATTTTTGATTCAGTAATTGATCTACTAACATTTTGGGATTTTTTTTTCTGGTGGTTTTGGAAAAGTATTTGAAATCATAGAAACATATTTTGATGCTAGAAAACCTGCTTTATGAAATATCAAATTCGAAGAGGGTTGACATCAATGCAGCTAGGCATTTCACGTTGGATGGCTTGGGTTTGAATCTCATCCAAGTCACAAATGACTACACAATTGGTTAATGTGACTACATGTCGCAATTTATTTAAAGGAATTCGGACTCGTGGTACAGTCCTTGTCCTTCATCTCGAATTCTACACAGATAAAAATTCTGAATTTTAATAGTGATTTAAACATTCATTCACGTAAACTTGTATTTCATTTCACGCAACCGCGCAACTTGTAAGCAATGTTGTTTACAACAATGGGCTTTGGCATACAATATTTGCTACACTGCATGAAATGTCTCAGAACTTTACATTATATATAATGTAAACTTATACGATATGTGACTCTCCATTCATGTGCATCATACTGAACATACTGTATATATTCCAATCTATATCTATGTTGATGGGTCAATTTCAACTGCAAAATACAATAATCAGGGTGACCAGTTAAACCGGAAAAAAAACCGCAATAAACCTGTGAATTTAGATGGAAAATTGGAAAAAAATACTTCTTCCTCTTCTGGACTAGATATTCAGGATAAATTCACTGTGAAGATCTGAATAGGATTTTTTTTTTGATTTTTTGAAGCAATTTTATAATGGCTTCTAGAGATACACTCAAAAGTTTGAGATAACAAAAACCAAAAAAATCATTGCAAACTTGTTCGATTAGGTCGGCCAAATATTGAATAGGTAGTAGAAGCCTTATTGTATACCCACCCAAGAACCTTAGTGAAAATTTGGGGGAAAAATTTAGAAAATATTTTAAATCAATAAAATAGTAGTTCATGATCCTAAGTTTGGAGTCAGATTTCTACAGAAATGTGACTTACCAAATGCCTACTTACGAATCTGTAATTCATTTTTAACGTAACTCTTACTTTCACTTAAATGCTTATACTAAACTTTTTTAATCGGTTTATATATGAGTTCTGGGCACGGAATTGGATTCATCGGAAATTTTTATCCCAATTTCATATAAAAAACATTATACTTAAGTGCATTATAGCTAACTTGAGGACCAAAAACAGTTTTTTTTTATTTGCATCTCTTAAAACATACTTTTTTCGAATAAAACCGTTAATTTCACGAATAATTATGGAGACGCAGAATTGCCTTGATAACTTTCTGATCGGTCATGACCAACGTACCTAGCTGGAATTCACTTTCTGATATAATTTACCAGTAACATTTAAAATGGGCCTATGTCCAAAACGTAAATAAATCGGGTTTTGAAACCATTCTTTAGCACCACTTGATAGCTACTAATCATGTAGGAAAGTTCCGCATAATCGAGGAAAATCATTAAAAACAACTCGATTTTTGAAACGACCGATGATCATTGATAGGCCTAGTGACGTAGAAGGGCCGATGATTGAAAATTTTCAAACCAAAGCTAGGCCTTACTGCTTGAGGCTGGCCGATGATTTGACGTTGCGAAAAGGCTTAGCAAAGGGCGTACCATTTCTGATGACAAGTACAATGGCTTAACAAAAAAGGCCTATCCATTGAAAGACTCACAAAAAGGCTTATTAATTTATAAAATTAAATTGTTATCGGTTTTCATATATTTTTGAAAGGTTTATACATATTATGGATATTGTATACTGAGATACAGTTACTATTGGTATTGTGAACAATATTAATGCCTAAAATACTTCAATTTTCTTAAATATGAATTGAATAGTGGCGTAAAAATTTAAAATTCATTTTCTGGTTTGTTTACGTTTTGGACGTAAGCCCATTTCAAATGCTAAAGGGTGATACGGTCAAAATTTGGTCAAGGGAAAACGCGTGTAAATCGGTGAAATCGTTTATTTAAGAAATCAAATTAAAATTCTTTTTCAAGTTCAATTAGTATAAAATTCAGGAAAAATATTCAGTTAGGCTTCCGCTTTTCCAAATCCGAATTGCCGGGCCTTACGCTTGACCCCTGCCATCAGATTTTGTACAGCCACCTTGTCCACCTTCTTCGCCGCAGAAAGCCAGTTTGCCTTGAACTGCTGCTCGCCCTTAGCAGTTTTTTTTGGTCTTCTTTAGGTTCCGCTTGACAATAGCCCAGTATTTCTCAATTGGGCGGAGCTCTGGCGTGTTGGGAGGGTTCTTGTCCTTGGGAACCACCTGCACGTTGTTGGCGGCGTACCACTCCATGGCCTTTTTACCGTAATGGCAAGATGCCAAATCCGGCCAAAACAGTACGGAACAACCGTGTTTCTTCAGGAAAGGCAGCAGACGTTTATTCAAACACTCTTTCACGTAAATTTCTTGGTTGACAGTCCCGGAAGCTATGAAAATGCTGCTTTTCAAGCCACAGGTACAGATGGCTTGCCAAACCAGATATTTCTTTGCGAACTTTGACAGTTTCATGTGCTTGAAAACATCTGCTACCTTTCCCCTTCCTTTTGCCGTATAAAACTCCTGTCCCGGAAGCTGCTTGTAGTCGGCTTTGACGTAGGTTTCGTCGTCCATTACCACGCAGTCAAACTTCGTCAGCATCGTCGTGTACAGCCTCCGGGATCGCGCTTTGGCCGTCGTATTTTGTTTATCATCGCGATTTGGAGTCACTACCTTCTTGTAAGTCGATAGTCCGGCTCGTTTTTTGGCTCGATGCACGGTTGTAGACGATACACCCAGCTTATTTGCGGCATCTCGGAGAGAGAGGTTAGGGTTTCGCTTGAAACTACCGCCAACTCTCTTTGTCGTCTCAGCGGCTTCCGGTTTTCGATTTCCCCCCGATCTAGACTTCCTGGCTGTCGACAAACGTTCCCCAAACACTTTAATTACATTTGTAACGGTTGATTTGGCAACTTTTAGCGATTTTGCCAACTTTGCGTGCGAGTAGCTCGGATTTTCGCGATGCGCGAGCAAAATTTTGATACGCTGCTCTTCTTGCTTGGACGGCATTTTGATAACTGAAGAGTGAATTCCAAAATCAAAATAGGAGCAACATTCTACACACACACACCTTCAAAATGAGGGGTGTTCAGGTTTTTTAAATGCAAAATTGAAAGAAATACGTCAAGTTGATATTGACCAAATTTTGACCGTATCACCCTTTACACTAAATATAATCTTTGCAGAACCAGGATTCAAAAGTTTCATGAAATTAATTTTTCATTCTGTTAAAAGCTGTTCTTCTTTCTTATAAAATTATTACTTTGTTGATTTGACAACTCATGTATTTCCTCCTCCCCTTATTTTAGAACGTATTTGACCAATATTTTCATGAATTCGATTTAGATGATGGTTGGGAAATGTGTCTTCCGATGAAATTTACTTGTAAATCGTTCCAATTTTTCTATAAATCTTTAATAATCCGCAAGTGGTCTGCTAAAGGAATGATTCCATAAATGGCAAATTTACCCTAATTCTTCACTGCAAATCATCATAAATGTACTAATTTGTAGCTATTGGACCTAAGTGGTCTAATCATAGTTCTCAATAGTAAATGTTCCATGTCTATGACTCTGAAGGGTCTATTTTTACCAGATAGAAATAATTTCCTTATCCTCCACACAGATAAACATATTTTGTATTTTTCAACTGCTAACTGGAGCAGGTTTTTAAATATAAAATTACACGTTTGACAATCCGAAATTTAATGAATGAAAGCTCAAATTTACACGTTCATATAAATGTATATAGTTGTTCGTTAAAAATTAAATCAATTTCAATTGAACTTTGACCATCTATGTAAAAACACACATGCATGCAAAATCCAATGCAAATTAATGTATTTTAAAATACTTTCGAGTAAAATTAATGTTTTATTGGTGTATGTTTCAACTAAGGCCAGAAAATACACCAATATGCCACACATAAATTTACAAACTTTTTGCTGTGTATCCATACCCCAAAATAGCTTTTCAAATCGTATATGCCACCCAAACACATGGACCGAAAAAATGGCTTCTATCTATCATGCTACCACTTTATGGAAAGGCGCTGATGAAGTGCCTACATCCCATCCGATACGATTCAATGTCAACAAAGCATGGGTTGTGTGAATGCTGCTCTCAGATGGCCACAGCCAGCCGTCGTCGTTGGGCGAATGCACTCTCAGTGGGTCAATGTCTGTTATGGTAGGTTACGACCATGGGCATCCCGTCCCGTCTGGAACACATGAACATCACGGTGATGCCTCGCTGGTGGAGTGGAGGGTGATGGTGGGGGGCGATTCGGTACCAATTTCGTCGGCGAAGGGTCAGTTTGGAGTCAGCTGTTAAACCGCAGTCAGCTCACCACCATCAGTGACAAGCGTGATACGGTTGTGCACACGTAGTTCGGTAGTACTTTCTAGTAGCAGAAAGTCATCTACTCTGACTGATTAGCGGTGTAGCTTGATTGAGGAAATTGAAACCGCGTAATTGAGAGTTCGCTTGTTTGTTTGATTTGTCGTAATCGGATTGATTTTTTTCCTTCAGTCAGTATCATGCCAGTCTTCGAGTATCGGTACTTTTTTGAGCCCGAACAAAGCGCGGAGTGATGTAGGTAATCGAATTTGTTTTTGTTTCGTTGGTTGAACTAGGAAGCACAAGATGGCGCGCTGATGGTTGTGATTACATTTACTGATAACGAAAAACTATGATTGAAGCGCGAGCGTGGAAGCATCTCGTATTCTGAAATCCTTAATCATTTATTCAACAGATGCTGTTTGCGGTGTGTGCTAGTTCAGTGAATTCGGCGTATTTTGAGTAAAGTGGTGTAATTAAAATTATAAAATAGAACAATTAGCTCCATCACCATGGATGAGTTTGCGTGACAGTGAAAACGTAATACGCTTTAAGGTTTCGCTTAGCTGAACACCAACGATCGCCGCGAGTGCAAGAATAAAAGCCAACAACCAGCCAGTCAAGGCCTCCCATCGACGACGGTTCAATTCGTGCTGATATTCAGGCAAATCTGATCAAATGGCTTACCTATCGGATGTTGACCTTGCGACATTGCATCGATCACGACTGGAGGAACGTGTCCATTACAAGTTGTCCTCTTGGTGTCACAAATCGGCCACCATCGATGGCACCAGTGGCCACATCGGTCAGTCCCAGTACGCAGCGAGCACAGCTTTGCCGGCTCAAGTTTCCGCCAGTTCCCGTTCGGCTAGTCGTTCGTCCACCACGGATGACATAATCAACAATAACGGTGGTGAACTTGAACCGGCCCACTCGGCGGCTGCAAGACGGGCTGCTCAACAGCAGAAGAGCCCTACCAGTAGTAGTAGTAATACCAGTGAAGCAAACACTTCAACCTACCTTGGAGAGTCTCGACGAGTGGTGACGTCAGGGCATCTTCACCACCATCGGGCTGGAGCCGGCAGGCACCAGTCCAATGTGCATGTGATCAAACACCGCAACCGGAATAGCAATAGCAGCCTGACCAGCAGTGGTTGCAACGGCGTCGATATGAGTACCATCAATAGCAGCAAGAGCGGGGCCAGCAGCAGCAGTAGTATTACCAGCAGCGGCAGTAACGGTTACAAGCACGTCGAATGGAGCGATGACGATTACCTCAACGACGATGGGTACTTCTCGTCCGAGACGCGCCGCAGGAGATCCGGCACGTGGCCGTAAGTGATATGATTGTTGATTTGTTTACATTCTTCTTGGCTTTTTGCAGATTTTTCGTTGATTTGTCGGTGTCAAGTTGACAAGGTCCGTTATATTTGCTCGTTGGAATTGTTGTTCATCTTTGACTTTGGCTCGTTTGAATCATTTGGTGTTGTTTTTCTTTTTTTATTTTATGTGCGCAAGTAATGAGCTCAGGTTAAAGTTAAAATTACGATACATCCGTGATACAGCAAAATGTCGTAAGCGGATGGTAATTATTGAATGAAATTTACTTTTTTTTCTCATCGGATTGCCACTTTTGCTTGTTGCGATGATGACTTTTCAGTTTTCACGTCAATTGTATTGAGTTGTTAGGATTATACATATCTCCGTGATAGTTTTTATGAATGCTTTTTTATCGTTGACGACAATCGAATGTGCAGAAAAGCAGCTCCCACACTTGTCTAGGATATCGCACCCATTCAAACACACATGGGCCGGGACCAACGGCTGTACTTCCCTTCCGAAGGAAGACGTGAGAAAGCAGTAACGCTTACCACTACACCACTGGCGCCGGCTCGACGACAACAACGATTTTAGAGCTTACCTTTTGTCTAGAATATAACACCTTTGCCTTTACCGTCACTTGAAAAGCGATAGAAGAATAGTCTTCGCTATTCCGAACAACCGATGTTCCAACACCATAGTAGGATACTTATTTTATTTGCATTCGAGTTATATTTTTTTGTAGGAATAGTTGCAAAAAAGTTCCGCCCTGTTCAAATGAAAGTCTAGATTTTTCCCAAGAAAAATAAGTATGCAAAGTTGCTTAAGTAGATACAATCTTTACACCCACAAAGGTTCATTGGAATCTGAGAGGGGGTTGCCAACCACTGGTGTAGTTTGCGTGAAATCCGGCTACTGAGATAAAGTTCACAAATGATTCATAAGTCCGCAAGAGAGATTTAAAATAAAAACCAGTGTCTGGCCCCTGCACCAGAATAACCAGGAGAACTGGAAATTAACAGGGAATCGAAAAAAACTGAAAGAACCGGGAATTTGATTGGAACTGTACATTATTTTGATAAACCTATATTAATCGAATTCTGTTGATAAACATTCGTAGTCTAAATTAGCAATGTCCAAGAGGCTGTCAGTTTAAATATTTGTGATAATTTTAGATCCTTAAAAACTTTTCATGACATACATTTCAAGCTGAAAATTGCATTAGGTCCTAAATAACATTGATAGATTCTCTTCATCGACTTTCTCTTTGCATCCCCACGGTCATGTGAAGATATTTCCAGGTATTTTTAGCACACAAATCGATAAAAGAATCTTTTATCTAGCATCTAATATGGCAAACACATCAAGGAACGGTTCTGTGCTCAAGTTATTGACGAAGAGAAAGTAGACGAAGAGAATTGATCAATTGTCAATTGTTAAGACCTACTGCAATGTTCAGCTTGATTTTAACAAAAAATCTCTATTTCTGGGATATTGAATGCACCATAGTGTGATATGAAAAGCTTTGAGTGTGTGAGTGAGCTCTTCATAAAGAGATTCCGTTAAGAGGTTCGACAAATTTAATAGATTCATAGTGTGATAGGGGAAATGACGGCTTCGGCATGACAGACTATTTTCGGCAACCCAAATTGAAACACTATTTTCACTGGATTTTCTTACGAAAACACTTCGCTGAATGCATGCAAACGATTCTTTATGCTTTCAGCTTCAATTTGACTATATTTTTACCACTGAGAAAAAGCAATCTAGCAGGGTTTTCTTGAAATGAAACACACGCACTACAAATTGTAGCTGATTTCGAGTTGCCGATAATAGAACAGCAGATTTACATGCAGTTCAAATGGAACGGTTGCCGAAGAAAAACTGGTTGCCGACAATACTCGCTCTCACTAGAGAAGATTGGAGCTTTGTAAAAGCGTTTCAAAACAGTTTTCGACAATTCTTTCGACTGAAATTGTTAGAGCAGCTGGCAGCAAAAGATTGTAAACAAACCAATACTGCATATGTGTGCGTTCCATAGAGAAAAAGGCTATAGAAAGAAGGTCGCTGCTTAGGTTGCCGAGAATACGTAAATTCCCCTACTTTTCTTAAATTTCTAGCTACATAATTTTAATCAGTTTTCTGAGACAAGCATCTTGATATTTCCAGCTGAACATTGCATTTGGTCCTAAGTAACATTGATCGATTCTCTTCGTCGACTTTCTCTTTCGTTAATAACTTGAGCACATAACCGTTTCTTAATCTGTTTGACGTATTTAGATGCTACATAAAAGCTGCTTTTATCGATCTGTGTCCTGAAAATACCTGGGAACGTCTTTACATGGCCGTGGGGAAGCAAAGAAAAAGTCCACGAAGAGAATCTGTCAATGTTACTTAGGACCTAATGCAATATTCAGCTTCATTTGTTCTCAATCGAATATTTTTTGTTAATCTTGGATATTGAATTTATGTGCACGTAAATTTTCCAATATTTGAAGTTGTTTCTCAGAAACTCATCTCTGGATATGGTTCGGGTCATTCCAAAAAGTCTTCAGAATTACTTTTACTATCATGATTTCCCTCAATAATCATATGAGCAATTCCACGCCAAATGAAGAATCGTTAAAACTCAACCAGTAACATTTGTGCTGTAATTCGGCCATTTTGGATCTTTTATTTTTTCCCCCTCAAAATGGCGTCATTGACATTTTTTTTTTTTTTTTTACTTACTTCTTACTTTACTTCTTTTGATGATTTCTAGAAAGTCAAGGCTCGTCAACGTAAATCAACATCACCATCAGGTAGGGGAAGACTTTATTTGGAGGAAATGGTGTAAAACGTGTAATGGGGGTAATATGACCAACAGTAAGTTTTCTTGGACTTTTCAAACAATTTAATGTTTTTTAAATCTAGTACTGCTGCTGATCTATCATTTGGTGATATTTTCACATAAATTTCTGCGTGTACTTGAAAAAAGGCCAATGGTTATATTTCCCCACTTAAAATGACACCTATTACACCCAGTTCCCCTGCGATGCTTTTCACGGGTGGGTGACATTTTGATCCTGCACAGCGACGCCATATATCTTGAATTTTGTACACGTAAAAAGTTGGGACTCCCTTGTTTATTTTGCTACCGTAAGGTATTGTAACAAGTTTGTTACCTCAAAACAAAGTTCCAAAACTATTTTTTGAACTAACAAACTTTTTCCTAAACTTTACGGTATCAAAATAAAAATAAGAGGGTCCCAACTTTCTTCGTGTTAAAAAATCAAGATACATGATACTTATACTACTCCCAACTTAGTGTTCTAGATGCACTTCCACTGATATTAATTGAAAGCTTTCGATGCCTACACCATTTCTGCAATAGTATAATTGTGTGGCTAGTACAATCATAATTTATGCCCACGGAAGTCGAGACATTTTCCAACCCGAAAAATTCCTAGACCGGACCGGGAATCGAACCCAACCGCCTGCAACATGGTATTGCTTCCTAAAATTTCCTAGAATTGCAAAGATTTTTGTAAAAGTTCACTCGAAGTTCAGTAAACTTTGAAGCAGCTCAGTAAGCTTTGTAACAGTTCAGGGAATTTCGTAGAAGCTAAAAAATCAATAAGCTTTTTAGGTATCAGGGACCCTCGAATCAGTTGCAGAAACTTCGCAGCAGTTTGTCAGATATCTTTCTTCAACAAATTAAACATCCTGGAAGTTTTTGGAAGTTCGTTACATTTCAGGGAATTTTCCAGATGTTTTGAAATATTCATTGAAAAGTTTAAGAATCTTCTCGGAAGTTCGGAGTGGTTTAAAGATGTTCTGATATCATGGTAGAATTAAGAAAGCTTAATATTATGATTTAAGTATGGAACATGGAATAAGTTTAGGGAACTTCGCAGTGAAATTCCTAAAATATTAGGAAACCTTGGATAAGCCAGGGATAAATCCTAAAAGTTCATTGAGCCTACAAACAGTGCATACGATACAATCTAGAAATTCGCGGATCTATCCATAAGTTCAAAAGAAACTTCGGATAAGTTAAGGAGTTTGGAAAGAAGTTCAGTGAGCTTCGTTTGATTTCATGCAACTGAGTATAAGTTCAAGAAACTTTGTGAAAGGAATTTTCTTATAATTTCAGAAAACTTCGTAGAATTTTAAAGAATTACGTTCACATTTACAGATTTTCAATAACATATCAATCAAGTCCTCCTGATATTTTGCATTTTCTACAAAGTTCACTGTGCTTCAACATTTCTCTTTGATTTTCTGCAACTGAACTACATCAAGTCCATCAAACTTCAACGAAGCTAACAATAAATTAAAAGACGGCAAATTAAAAAAAAACTCCTCGGACTTTTGTGAGGTTCCTTCTCATTAAAAATGATTCCTAAAATTCTACGAAGTTCCTCAAACTTGTACAAAGTTCCCGCATTCAAGAAGCTTCCTGATTTTTTTCAAGGTTTCCTGAATTTCTACGAAACTCTCTGAAGCTCCACGAAGTTCACAGATTTTTTACGTATTTTGCTGAATTTATATGTCCCGGAATCGACTGGACTGTGTTGAATGACCTTGATATCGATACAGCAAGTGCTCGCTATAATTACCTTTATGCGCGACTGTGTTTGTGCTTCAGTACCGAAGTGCCTACCTCCAAGAAAACCGCCTTTGTCTAACGCTGCTCTCCGCAACCTGAAACGAGTGCGAGCTAGAGCTCTCCGCGCTCTCACTCATCGGCGATGTACCCTTACCAAACGAAGTTTTTCAATTGCCAGCAATGATTACGATACGAAGAAGAACGAAGCTGGTCTGCCGTTAAAAATGTTTCTCGACAATGACGTTGCATTGACAACTGAGGACAAATGTAGCCTATTTGCTAGGCACTTCTTGAACGTCTTCTCGAATGACTCACCATCGCAAGCAGAAATTGAGCGAACCGTACGAACTCAAAAAATTCCACACGTCATCATCATGTGTTTCACACTTAATTTGGCACTTATTGTGAAACACATCCGATTTT